TATTATTATTATTATTATTATTATTATTATTATTATTATTATTATTACAATTAAGTCATTACTATTCCAAGAAGGAAAATTGTCATTAATTACTCATTTAAAGACGAAAAGGGAGTAATTTAGTCAAACATTCATTATAAAATAGTAAATGCTATTAACTATTTGTCGTGATTATGATTAAGTGATTCTTTTGTGTTTTTTTTGTGTTGTAATTAAGAAATATAATATTCGTTTTTTTACCAAACTTAATTTTTCTTTTCTCTAAGCTCGTAGGTTTATAATAATAAGAGGAAGTTCTGGATTTTACTCTTATGGGATTTTAGAACGTTTGGAAGGATGGCCAAATATTGATGTCTACCAAGGAAGAATTGTCTTCAAGCTCAAAGAAGAATTGTACGTAAATATAAATACTATAAATGCTTTTATTATTATTCTTTTTTTTATTCTCCTTTATATTTTTTCTATTTTTGAAAAATCCCCTTATTCACCCATTTTATATATTTAGTATGATTGTTTTTTGAATTATTTTTTGGGATAGCCATTCTTAGGGACGCTATTTAGGGATTAGTCGGTACTTATTTTGTCATGAAATTTTAAACTAAAAATATTAACTTCAGGACATTTTAAACTCGGGATATTTTTGTCCTGAAAAATTAAAATTCAAGATGCACTGACTAAATTTAGGGGTATATTTACATCTGGTAGCTAAAAAAATGTATAAAATTTGTATACTTTTTGTACATAATATACAGAATGTATATATATATAAATTATATATATTTTTTCGACTATTTTTACTATGGTTATACAGTATCATTTTTCCTTAAATTTAATGATTTTAAAATTGTTTGGGCAGGTTCCAATATATGGCGATTTCAGATGAACGGCAAAGGATTATGCCAACGGCCCAAGACCGTGAAATGGGCCAAAAACTTGATTATCCAGAAGCTGTTCTTCTTACAAACCCAACTAATTCTTTTATTAAAGGAGAGGTAACTTCAAATTCTGCAGTATTGTTTTAATTTTTTACCTTTAATTTTATTTATTTACTTGAAAATATGTATTTAGGTTGATGACAAATATCAATATTCTTGTGAGAACAAGGATAATCGGGTTCATGGGTGGATAAGCCCAAATCCACGAACCGGATTTTGGATGATCACACCAACCGATGAGTTCAGAACTGGTGGGCCTCTCAAACAAGACCTTACTTCTCATACCGGCCCAGTAAACCTCAATGTAAGTAACTTCTCCGGGTAAATTTCAAAAATAGCCGTTTTTCGAACTTGTAATTGAAAAATAGTCATAGATTCAAAAATCATTGAATAATTAACCAGTATTCAAAAATCAGGGCAGTATCTCCGATTGAAATCCATGACACTTTCATGGTGTTTACTTTTCACCGTATTTTCAAACTTTGGCTATTTTTCAAAAAAGGGTCCAAAAAGGGCTAGCCTGCACAACTTTTGCAATTTATCCATATATAAAATTTAAAAATTGATTTTTTCTATTTTTCGATTAAATTTTCATCTAATTCAACAGACTGCTGTTATTTTTATCGTGCAAAAGCTATGCATTTCAAAGTGTATTGGGTACATATTAAGCTTAATATTTTTGGGCAAAGATCACTTTTAGCCATCTGCCAAAACTATTTACATCACGGAACCGAAAAAGTGTTTAAAATTTGTATATAACATACAACAATGTATGTATATATAAAACATATATATTTTTTCGGCTATTAGTTTTAGAGCTGTTTTATAGTGTCATTTTTCCCGATATCAACCAAATATAACCTAAGAAGAAAAATGTGATCCATATGTAGAGTTGTTCATGGTTCGGCTTGGATTAGCTTTTCCCTAAAAATAGACCAAATTAATCGAGTACTAATTAATCGCGATAACATATTTAACAGATGTTTTTTAGTACACATTATGCTGGAGAGAGTTTGGGACTGAAATTTAGAGATGGAGAGCCCTGGAAAAAGGTGTTTGGCCCTGTTTTTACATACCTAAACTCACTTTCACCTGATGAGCTAGACACTCTTACACTATGGACTGATGCAAAAGAACAAATGTTCATAGAAACTGAAAATTGGCCATATAATTTTCCTCTTTCGGAGGATTTTGTTCGATCTGATCAACGGGGTATTGTAACCGGCAGATTACTCGTTCGTGACAGGTACATTTGCTTAAAATAACTCTACTATATAATATAAGAAAATGACTAAATTTTAAATGGTGATCAAGAAGCTAGAATTTTTTTTGTTGCAGCTATGAAAGTGATAAGCTTATTACTGCAAACTCAGCTTTCATTGGATTAGCTGCTCCAGGAGATGTTGGATCATGGCAAATGGAAAACAAGGTTAATATTTGTAAATTTCCAGCTTTTACTTGTGATTGGAAAAAAAAAATTAACCATTTTATGTGTTTTTCTACAGGGTTATCAGTTTTGGACTCAAACAGATACCGAGGGCTATTTCTTGATTAATAATGTCATCACTGGAAATTATAGCTTGTATGCTTGGATCCCTGGATTTATTGGAGATTACATGCATGATGCATACATCAATGTCAACCCAGGTTTGCAAATTAGTTTTAATTAATCCTATATTTACATCAAATAGTGAGTTGATATTTGAATGTCAATATTGTTTTTTCATCGATTATTAGAATTTCATCAATAAATTTGATACACCTTCCGTTTTATGTTATTTGGCAGTGTTTGACTTGGTAAGGAGTTTCAAAAGAAAAGTTTTTGACACTTACCAAAGTTAAACATGCTATGATATTTCTGTGGTTATAAGAGCACTTCATTACGGGCAAAACAAAAGGTTCGAAAAAGATTCCCAAATAGTAGTAAAAAAAGGCGTTATTCTTTTTGAAACAGACTAAAAATATAGAGAGTATTTAATCTGAAATAGAGCGGAAAATATGATTTTTCACTACTCAAATATGGCTACGGATAAAACAGGATCAAGAACAAGAGTAGAAACTCTCGTATACGATGCGCCAAGGAACGGTCCAACACTCTGGGAAATAGGAATTCCTGAAAGGACTGCTTCTGAATTCTTCATTCCTGATGCACAACCAAGACTTCTGAACCAATTATATGTCGTAAATAATGCAGAAAGGTGAGCTAAATTTCATTCAGTTAGCGATATTCTATCAAGTTTTATGTTGGTTTATTTTGCATAATCAGAAATGTATTTTGTTGGATTTTTCAGGTTCAGGCAATATGGATTATGGGATAGGTATACAGAGATATACCCTGATGATGATTTGGTTTTTACTGTTGGATTAAGCAACTATCAAACAGATTGGTTCTTTGCTCATGTCAATCGATATATTTACAAGTATGTTCACAACATCTTTACTCCCTTTAGCGCGTTTTATCATTTGAACGTTCCCTTTGCATAATAAGTGAAATTTCTAAGCGTGCTTAGTATGATAGAAGTCATTACAACTATATATATATCCTGTGTGTTTCCACAAGTGAGGTCTGGAGTATGATAGAAGTCATTGTTCATGAAAAATGTTTTCCCGGAAAAATATTTCCTCATCGCACCAAACACCAGAAAATGACTTTCTCATGAAAAATATTTTCTCGAAAATGACTTTCGTCATACCAAACATCCTCTATGTTATACTTTATAAAGAATATGGGCCATATATACCCAGAGGCAGATGTAGAGTTGTGACATCGGATTCAACCGAACCCAATACTTTATACAGAGCATAAATTTATGTATAATAATTTACTAAAATTATAATAAATAGAAGGTTTGAACCCATAAAGCTTAAATCCTGCATCCGCCTCTGCATATACCAAAAGAGAATAGAACATTGCATATTTTGATTTAGAGTGATCTTGATTATGGCCTTTTTAATGCAGTGATGATGGAAACAAGACTTATGTACCAACTACATGGCAAGTTCTATTTGATCTTGATGATATTGATCAATCAGCAAATTATACCCTTCAACTAGCATTAGCCTCAGCAAATGATGCTGAACTACAAGTATGGACTAATAATTTTCTCAATCATTTTACTTGTAACTATCCGCATATTTTCATAGCCTTTTCGACTAAGTACATGTATATTTTGCTATATTTTAGGTTCAATTTAATGATGCAGAACCAGATGCTCCTCACTATACAACAGGATTGATAGGCAAAGATAACGCGATAGCTAGACATGGGATTCATGGATTATACAGGCTATATACTATAAATGTTCCTGGTTCTCTTCTTGTATTTGGAACCAATGTTATGTATCTCAAGCAAACTAGAAGTGAAAGGCCTTGGAGAGGAATTATGTATGATTATATTCGTCTCGAAGGTCCTCCTGAAAGTTATTAATCTGGAGGAATTATTGAGCTTAAACTTTTGGGTGAAATAGAACGGGGAAATTTTGGGGTTGTAGATGTTGATAGAATTTGAATGCTCAAGAAAAGTTGATCATATCTATTTTTTTGATGTTTTCTTGGTAGGTGCCTGTAAATTTTGAGTAGCTTAGTCTACTAATCTTGAACCGGTAAAAATTTAACTGATAATAATGTGCTTAAGCTATCAAACTTCTTCTTTTTTTTT